CTCTCCTACTCTCCGGCGACTTTAAGCTTATTCCCGGAGTCATGCTGGCTGAATCAAGATGTACACCTTCCGCAGCATGTCCGAGGGACAGCTGTAGTGGTTGTCACAGACTGAGATATCAGTGTGCTTACGAGGCCTGAGGAAGCGCAGCCAATGACCCACGCCTGCCTGGTGCTATGAGAGTAGTAAAGTCCATAGCGGCCGATGACAGTTCTCCGCTCTTCGCTCCGAGATGCCGAGCTCAGGGCTTCCCTTTACGGGCTTTTCTTCATCTTTCATCCTGAATAATTTGATTTTTGCGTGATGAATTTACTCTATTCCGTCAGTCTCTGGCTTCAGATCCGGGGCAAGGACTTGATCTCTGACAATGACGTTTCATCTGCTTCTACATGCTTCTTATCTCCTCACACTAAACACATGATTTGGAAAGAAAAGCACCATACTCAATGATAAGTGCTCAGGCTAACACCTCGCTCAACTCAAGCTTCGATATCAAGGCGCGCAGCCCCCTCATCTTCAGCATCCCCGACCTACGACCCTCATACAACCACCAAAGCGACCGGGCACCCCCCACCAGCCTCCGACTGCCTTGTCTTCGGGAAATTTTACCCCTCACCCTTTAGCGAGCGGAATTTTGCATCATCACCCCTACGCTCAATCGCAGGAACAATCTTACTACGCGCCCCAATCCTCCTATACGACAGCGAGTGCGCCAAGTCAGTATCCATCTAGTGGTAAGTGGACATCGTCAGTCCTAATCTCTATCCTGAATGCGATGGCTTATTGACTACTCAGGCCCCCCTGAGATCATGGCAACCGCCGCGCAAATGCAGAGGCCATATCCTCCGATCTATCACACACCTCAGTCTAGTTCGCCCGCGTCAGTAGCGTCACAAACCCACGAGCCGCACGGTAGAAACATCTACACACAATCACCGCAGATGACGTCTCAGATGTACGGTTACCCACCGTACTCTCCAATGAACCCTGTTCAGCCTTCACAATACGGCCCAAATGCATCACCTCAGCAGCATCCACTTACGACCCAGTCGTTGATGATCCCACACCAGACCAGTACCGCACAGTTGCCTCACCATCCCACCCAAGCCCCAACTGGTGCTATTGCCAGCAGCCCCACCTCTACAGTGCAGCAACCGACTCCCTCTCAGAGGGCGATGCTAAACCCTCCGCTCCCTGCGGCGACGGCTGCACCCATATCAGCTAGTACTGTTCACCATCAGAGCTCAAATGTCGGGGCAAGTTCTAGTGCAGCACCCGGGCCAATTCCTGCCACGACACCTCTTGTTGTTAGACAAGACAGCAACGGAGTCCAGTGGATTGCGTTTGAATACTCTCGAGACCGGGTGAAAATGGAGTATACCATCCGATGCGACGTTGAGTCTGTTAGTGTGGATAATCTTAGCTCGGATTTCAGGTCCGAGAACTGTGTATACCCTCGTGCATGCGGCGGCAAAGATAATTATCGAGGTAACCGTCTGGTGTACGAAACAGAATGCAATACCGTTGGGTGGGCGTTGGCCGAGCTGAACCCTGCGTTAAGAGGGAAGCGTGGTCTGATTCAAAGAGCTGTGGATAGCTGGAGGAATAGCAACCAAGATCCACGTCTTCGAAGTCGCCGTGTGCGAAGGATGGCTAAACTGAACAGACGACAGGGGCTTCCAGCACAGTCGCCATCCCACATGGCACCGTCGACGCCGGTTCCTCCAGGTATCCCAGCTGCCAGCATGGCTGCAGCCGCTCCCCGCCCAAGCCTGGGACCTTTGACCATGGGTCCCCCGCAGTTACACCATCACCATGCCCAACCCGATGGAGGTGCAAACCATGAGGAAGTCAGCGGTATGTACCAACATCACGTGTGAAGTGCTTCTTGTCCCGACTCTGTTGCACAAACCGAAAGCAGTCTATCATGTTGTATCATGCAAACCTGCGTCAAGTCCATTGGGAAGGATAACGACAACTGGCCCACTCTCACTAAATGATGGATCTTGTACCCTATGTATTTCTATCTTGTTTACTTCTCGTTCATCATACCCGATTTGCCTTGTGTGTGTTTCAAGTCCGCCGAATCCGCTTTTGTTCGCTTCAGCCACGACACTTTACGTCTTGCGTAGGCTAATCTCATAATTGTCATAATGTCCTTACTAGGTCCTCCTGACTTTTCGAACGGTATCCACCGTCCGCCTACCTCAGATCATCCGCCACCTGGACCATCCCCGACAGAGATCCGCAATGCTCAAGTGTTCCATGGGTTTCACTCCTATCCCACAGTGGGGAGTATTGGCGGAGGACCGCGAGGCCCTTCGATACCGCCACTTCTCCGTGAGAGTGGTATAGGGGGTCTAGGGCGACCCCCAACTGTGGCGACTGCTAGCCGCATTGAAGAAGTGGACGAGGACGAGGATGAGCAAAACCCCAGCACTGAAGCTCTCTTCGGCACTCCTCCCGGGGGAAAGCCTCGCAAATTTATACTCGTGGACGACACCCAACGGGGTGCCCGCGTCCGGGTTAAGGTTTCTTTGGACCTAGTTGACATGGATGAGATTCCGGACTCCTATCGTAGGATGAACTCGGTATTTCCCCGGACCTATTTCCCCGTCCAAATGCGAAGCCCTCGCACTTCTGTTGTGCCTGGCAACCGGTTCATCAAGGATCACTCCGAGCTGGACGACGAAGACGAAGAACTACCAACAGCTGGAAGAGTCATGGTTCCCGTTCCTCAGATCGATGGTGAAAGTGAGATTGCAGTTCCACGATTGTCTCGAGGCCGACGGCGAAAGGAGGTTCTCCTCAACGACCTGGCCTACCGGATAAGCTGGAGCCAAAGCCGAGTCTTTGCAGGACGGATGATGTTTCTGCAGCGATCCCGTACGTGCTCCTTTTGTTTCTTGGTATAGTGACATCGCTCTCAGGAAGTTCAATGTTGCAGTAAGTTCGCTTATCGATGACAATTACTAACTCCGATGATTTCTGGGGAGTAATAGTGGATGCATACCGTAACAAGATGCGCGCCGCAATGCTAGCGGAGGGCCAAGAAGCTTCGGCAATTCCGCAACATTTTGAGACGCGAGCGGGAAAGCGACGCTTCCTCGAGCGCAAGCGACGAGTCACACCAGCCCGAGACGCCACGGCACATATTTTGTCGGCCTCCCGACGCAGTGCTGAAGAAGTTGAAGCTTGAAATTCCCATCATGAACTCATCCACTTTCGAGCAAAAGTCCGGTTCGCTGCTCCGCGACTGCTCTGTTACGATTCTCCTTTCTATCTCGCCACGCCCTTCTCTTATGTGACACTTTTACACTTTTTTGCGGCACTTGTGCCGCCTCTCGCTGCACCCACTCCTTTTCGTCTCTCCGAAACATGTGATGAGATATCTTTTGCGGAACATCACGGATGGCAAATGAGTTGTAGATATTGCGCTGAAATGAGACCATGACGGTAAGGGGAAACTTATGGTGGTCTCGCGAGATCCGGTGGTGGATCGTGTGAGACTTCTTCGGTCTGTCGTATAATCTATTTGGCTTACATTTGTATTCTTTTCGTGACGATTGATGATGAAACTACAGACGCTGCGCTGGACATGAATGACAAGATGACATTATGACCTGGTTTGGTTTGGTTTGGGAGAAGGTTTCGCGGGCGTGGCTGTCTCCTTGTGAAATATGTTTCGCTTATGAGTATGCTGTATGTACGATTCGTTCCACTGCGCATAGTGTCGGAACGAGGGACGAGGCTCGCTCTTCTTCATTTATTTTTTAAGTTGGTGCCATTGCATGACTTTGTGCCTCGTTGCGCCATCTCGAGCAAAGAAACAGCGAATTCTCGACGTAAGTCTAAGACAAGTATCTGTTCGCTGGGTGGCTTACGACGCGCCACGACGTGATCTCCGAGGGTGGGTAGGACACATTTCGTACTGCATGAGGGAGAGGAGTGGGTGGGGTGTAGATTGACGAGCAAGATATTATGACTGAAAGATGTCAATTTCAGCGGGTGAAGTCGTACATACTCTCGATTTCATGACCGGTTGTGTTCATGGATTACTGCCCTGGCAGTCCGCGTCCGGAGGTCGGATAAGCCCGGAAGGGGATTAGTGGCAGACCCTGAACTAACTTAACCCGTGGTGTCACTGGACCCTGAGCGGCCTGAGGTTCCTCTCTTCTCCGCACTGCATAGTTCCGACTCACTGACTGGCCGCTTTCGCTCTTCCCTCTTACCTTCAATCTCCTAGTACGGAGTAGTTACTAACCTACTTGACTCTTCGTTGCCTGGTCCACCAGCCGCCACAATCACAAGTCCAGCGATGCATGCGGTAATGCCTTCAATAATACGAGCTCGCTTGTTTTCTCTCCCTCTCACGATTCTTCCTACGGAGTTACTTAATTCATCTACTCGATTACATTCAATCTAGAATTGGTATGTGAGGAATCCCATCCGCTGCCTTCCTCTCTCTTCTCCCCTCCCCCTCACGTCACCCCATCTAAGACATCTAACTATCTCCCGCATTGTTCGCTACGTATGAATGCGTCCAGACGGTTCTTCTCGCGCTGACCATTTAGGTTTCATGAAATCGTATCGCTGTCACCTTCCATTATCGTTCGCCATCGTTCCTGGGACTTTCCCATGGTCATCCGAGAAGAGTAACCGTGGTTCCCGCTTGCCCATAGCAGCTGTTCTCGTTTCAGTCGCTTCCTCGCTCCAGTATTATTGACCTCCCATCGCTGCTCAAACCCAAACCTTGTCGGCTGCTTTTCCTTCGTCCCTGCCTGATTGTGCTGCTATTTTCAGGACAGCCCGCCAAGCCGTTGCCTCCCGCCTTGCTTTGTGCAAAGCTGCGTTTCTTTTCCTGTTTTCATATAACTCTCTGGCATCTCCTCCATCTATCTTTATCTTATCTAGGCTTTTATTTTCTTCTTTACTCGGCTCTACTTCCTACAAAGCCTTCCGGCGCCACCTTGGCGTGACCAGTCGTTTCTTTCACAGCCATGTCCGGTCTGAACCGGGTTGCTAGTTACAGCGAGGGCGATGACGGGGCGGTGGTCGCAGGTTCCCGCCAGCGTTCATCACCAGAAGAGGGGCGTCTTATGGACAGCAGGTACTACAGCGACATGGACATGAATCGTACTATCGCATCACACCAAAGACACATTCAAACGTACAACGACGGGAATTTAGAGCCGGTGCCGGAAGGTCGGAGCTTGGAGCACACACGCACGCAGTTCACCGCAACGCCGGGGATTGACAATATGGGGCCCTCGGCCGTGGGCGGAGGCATCAGTGGTATCGCCCTTGGCGTTGCTAATACCCATGACCGCCAGAGTGGTGTTGACGCTTTCAGGGAAACAGCCGGTCCATTGTACAATGTCCCCGCAGAACGAGATTATCACACCACTGGCGCCGAGAATCCGTATATCCCCGCACCGCCGCCACATTCAGAAGGCACCTTTTACGCCAGCTCAGAAACCCTGCGACCGCGCGATTCCTACGGGTCGAATGTCGCGCTGGGCGCGGCGGGTGCAGCCCCGGGACAGTTGACGCCGACTACGGCGCCTTCTCAGCACAGCGTTCAAGATAGTCCTTATCAGGGGGTGGGGGCGTTCAGTGAAGGGCCCTACCAACGGCAATCGGTTTATTCTACGCAAAACTACCCGCTCACGTTCAATCCGGATGAGATTGCAGATGACGGGGACGATGGGTTTGTCAACGTGGCGCCGAAGGGTGTGTCGCCGTCGAGTCATCAGAGCTTTAACGGAACAGCAGGTGCTGCCGCCGTTGGGGGAGCCGCTACAGGTGGGCTTCTAGGTGGTTTGAGGGGCTTGTTTGGTGGGAAGAAAGACTCCAGTCCGTCGTATGGACCGGTTCCTGGCCCAGGGCTGGAAGCAGCCGAGAAAGGACAGAGAGCTGGCTCGATAGCCGGAGCAAGTCGGCGGAAGCGCGCGTGGATTGTGGGACTCACCCTCGCGTTCATTATCGTGGCTGCCATTGTCGGGGGAGCTGTCGGGGGCATTTTGGGTAACCGAAGTCACGATGGCTCGGCTGCAGCAGACGGATCGGGCAGTTCCTCGGGCAGTTCCTCGGACGGATCTTCGGACTCGTCTGATGGACTGCTTGATAAAGATTCTTCGGAGATCAAGGATTTGATGAATAATGCTAATCTGCACAAGGTCTTCCCGGGAGTGGATTATACGCCGTGGGGAGTGCAGTACCCGCTTTGCTTGAAGTATCCTCCTTCCCAAAACAATGTCACGCGCGACCTCGCGGTTCTCTCGCAATTGACCAATACGATCCGACTATATGGTACAGATTGCAACCAAACAGAGATGGTGCTTACTGCTATCGACCGCCTCGAGTTGACCGACATGAAGCTTTGGCTGGGTGTGTGGATTGACAGCAACCAAACAACGAGCGAGCGCCAAGTCAAACAGCTTTACAACATCATCGATGACGCAAACAACACCTCGATCTTCAAGGGGGCTATCATCGGGAACGAAGCTCTATATCGCGCAGGCCCAGACATTGCAACTGCCCAGACAACCCTGATCAGCTACATGACTGACGTCAAAAACCACTTCAAGCAAAATAGCATCGACCTCCCCGTGGGGACATCAGACCTGGGTGACAACTGGAATCAGGAGCTGGTCCAGGCAGCCGACTTCGTCATGTCCAATATCCATCCGTTCTTTGGCGGTGTTAAAGCCACCGAGGCAGCCAGTTGGACCTGGACTTTCTGGCAAAACCACGATGCTCCGCTGACTGCAGGCACCAACAAGCAGCAGATCATCTCGGAAGTGGGTTGGCCTAGCGGTGGAGGGAATGATTGTGGCGATGGCGACAACTGCGAAAATGATACTCAGGGAGCTGTAGCAGGTGTTGACGAAATGAATCAATTCATGGCCGACTGGGTGTGCCAGGCTTTGGAGAATGGGACCGAGTATTTCTGGTACGTCAATCTTTTCCTTATCGTGTGCCTAATTCTAACCGATCACAGGTTCGAGGCCTTTGATGAGCCTTGGAAGGTTCAGTACAACATCGAAGGCGAAGAATGGGAGGACAAATGGGGATTGATGGATGCAGCTCGCAAGCTGAAACCAGGCCTGAAAATCCCCGACTGCGGCGGCAAGACCGCTACATGAGGTGTCGCGCTTTCCACCGACTACACTCTATTCAAGTCCCGACTATTAGTGTCATGGGTCTTTCGATGTACACACGAATCTCCGACATACACCATGTTTTAACGATGCACGGACTAATGGCTTGTTCTGAATCTCTTTGCGGTGTTTTGCGCTTCCTGTTTATCTCTTTGCACAGATGTGACGGTGGCGGTGTTGTCCTCGACTGTTGGGGGGGCTGTTCATGTTACCTCCCGTGCCAAGCTAGGATGATTGTTGAGGGTGTCTGTATATAGTTTGTTGATAGTGATGGTCTTAAGCCACCGACAGTTACTTGCAAATATCATCTATACTTGCGTTTGCTGGAGACTTGCCTGTCCTCGTGCCCTGGTTGAGTCGTGCCCTTCAGATGTAATCCTGGTTTGGTATTCCACACTACTCCTTTCTCACCCATCAGTCTTCGCGGTTTTCTTCCTCGACCGGCTGGGTATAATGATAGACTCGCATCTCCCAAAACGCCTCCTTCAGCTCCTCAAACCGCGGCAACCGCACCGACCCGGTCCGCGCCACGAACCGCTCGATCCCGTCGGAGCCCGTATCCTCCAAGGGCCCGCCAACCACCCCCGCCGGATTCCGCGCCAGCAGCACCTCGAGATGCGCCTTCTCCGCCCCGGGACAGAACAGCAGCGAATTTGAGTTGACCTTCCCGAACCCGTCCGGATGCTCCACGACGGTGATCCCCAGGGCGGCAAGGAGTTGGCGATCGAGCGCGTTGAAGACGGGATCTTGGGCGTAGATTTGGACTGTGGATGTTGTTGGATTCGCTGGTTTATAACTGGTGTGTTAGTTTTTATTTGTGTAGTGGTAGTAGATGATTATGCGGTGATGGGGGGGGGCGCCTAGGGTAAAGGGCTGTTTTGGATTGGTATAGGCTGTTAGGCATACCAGTCAAACACTCCACCACACTCATCAACGCATTGAGTTGGTAGAGCGAGACGCTGCGACGATCCACCCATCCCCCGCGCAGGAAGCCGCTCGGACTGCCGAGGCCGATGCAGATTATATTGGTTATTCTTGGGGTGGTGGGGGTGGTGGATTGCGCTCCTTGTTCTGTTCTCTGTGTTTGTTCTGGTTCCAGGTGTGGTTCTGTTTGCGTCTGCGGTCCTTCTCGGGTTGTTTCTGGTAGGGCTGGTTCTTGTTCTTTTTGGTGTTGTTGTTTATGCTCGAGGCAAAACTCCCGCCGCACCGTCGCGGTCAGCGTCGCGGCGGTGGTGGAGGCGGTCCATTTCGTGCGGTGGGTGTGGTATTGCGTGAGTAGGGAGGGGAGGGTGAGGGATTTGGGGGCTTCGGCCGGGGTGAGTAGTTCTGGTTGTTGTGGTTGTTGTTCTGGCTGGGATTGTGGACGGTGTTGGCGATGCGCGCGGTGGGCGTTGCCTGTCGTCGTGACGTGCGTCCAGCCGGTCGCGTCGGTGATTGTGGTGCGTTTGGTGGGGCCGGTGCTGGTGCTGGTGGTGGGCTTCTTTTTGCGGGAGGTGTGTGGCATTTTGATTGTTGATGTTGAGTGTAGGGTGCAAGGGTGGTAGGGGGGAGGGGGTGGTGTTTTGGGGTTGCTGGTGCTGCGGTGCTGCGGTGTTACGGTGTCAAGCACCAAAAAAAATTGGAGATGCGGGGCGGCGGTGGTTGAGCTTGGAGGGCCGTGGAAGTGGGGAGGGAGGGGGAGGGGGGGATTGGGTGGGTAGGGTACGCTGTACCCAGTGTACTGTACAGCCTGGAACTTAACCTGGAACTTGGGCTTAAGCTTGAGCTTGAGTATATCGGGATCTATGCAACAATGGTTTGATTTGTCTCAAATACTTGTCTTAGATGAGCGCGAGTAGTAATCTGCAGCAGTGCACGTCTCATCTTTGCAGTTGGTAGATATCTACCCTTTACTCCGTACACTGCGTGGGTAAAGTGGCTGGGTGTTGTTCCTGCGCTCCTGTTGTACGGTTATTTTGTGTTCTGCGCATGACGATTCTATGCGATTTTCTGCAATATCAACAGCATAATGCACCGGTGCAGTGAGCAGTGACTCTGTCGAGAACTCATTTCGAGCCACTGTCGAATCTAACTAACAAGATCTCGGTGCGTTGACAGCTGGCGCGTACCCCGCTGCTCACTGCAACACAATGCATTTCATAAGAATCTCGAGTCCGCTGTATATCAGTCGATCTCTGAGCCCCCGCATATACCAGCTCAGTTCTGAGCAGAATTCCTAGCAATGGATATTTCTCTTCCTAATACCCTTCATTCAACTGGTGATTCAACACTGCAAGCCTCCGCTGAATAATCGGGGTTCGCTCTTGGTCTCTTCCCGAAACTAACTGCATCCAGACTAGCCCACGGCCCCCTCGGACAGCTTAAAATACCACTCGGCATTGCATGACCTGCCATTGACAACAAACCGAGTTCGTGACCTTTTCTTTTCTCGTCGAACCGTCTTTCATCATGGCCGAACACCCTTCTTTCACTCTCGCGGCTCTCTGTACGTTGCTCACAATATGCGGGGTGTGAAGGTCAATGACCACTAACAGCCACCTAGTGCCCGCCGGCGGTATCGCCGGGTTCATGCGAACTGGTTCCAAGCCCTCCCTAATCGCAGGCGTGGGATTGGGTCTTTCTTATGGATTCGCTGGTATGTTCTCCGCAGGGAGCCTGCGCTGCTCTTCTGCTACAAGACTTGAGTATTCTGTCCGAAGCTTGTTACTGACCGGTCCCAGGGTACCTGATCAAGGAAAACAAGGACTACGGCACGGAGCTTGCGTTGGGCAACAGCATCCTCCTGCTCGGCTCGGCCATCCCTAGGATCATCAAGACCAAGGCCCGGGCCCCCATGCCTCTGGTCCTCGGTGCCACCGGTCTGCTGGCGTCGTTCTACTACCAGAAGAAGGTCCGGGAGTTCAGGTTCGGTGTTTGATTCGCTGTATTGTATGAGATGACTACTAAAGGCTTGATTGCTGAGCTCATAAGGGTGGCTGTGGACGCCCTGTGTATTTTTACTGAGAATGAGATGCTGTACGTTATGTGCTGGGCTGTTCTACTTGGGCTTGCGATTAATCGCACCATAATCCAGATGGATCACTGACCCGACAGGATTGGGGATTCTTCTGAGCGAACCATTGGCCAGACCGATTTCTTATATTTCTCTTGGGCGAGTAGTGAAAATTTCTACCATGATATTATGCTCCGAATCACTCGACAGTGCATCAGACACATCAGACTGATATACCGGGTCGATGTTGTTTGCTTAGTCAGCATGCTCAGCATTAACTAACTAGTTAGTGAGTTATGTAGAGTATAGATCATCAAGACAATGGCTCTGCAAGCCGCTTCAAGAGGATTAGGTAGTTGTTCTCAGCCCTTCCTTGGAGCAAGAATGCAATGTAGGACTGCTGCCCTGACCGGGTCGGTGCCTTACATGCAAGGACGGCTACGAAGAATGGCAGGAAAGCGTGACCCGAAATTTCGGCTTCGGCAGGGAGCCCGGATCAACATCGCGTAAATCAACTCAGTACACTTTCGGTGTCAAGCCAGTCTTTTGTGTCATTCCCTTCAAAATGGCCAGAACAACCCGGGATAGTGCACGATCTAAATCGACGGCATCGCAATCCAAGGTGACCAAAGTCTCAAAGACACCCAGGGTGCTTAAGGCGCCCCGACGCGCAGCCTGCGACTCATGCTTCAAGAAAAAGGTCTTTATTGATTCTCTTTCCCCAGCTCCCACGATACCATGACAAGAAATATTGTACTTTGATCTAATGAGTTCTTAGATACAATGCGATGCAGAATCCCCGCAGTGCAATTGGTGCCTCCACCATAACCTTGCCTGCACATATACAAGGCTTAAAAAGTAGGTCGAAATTGCGCCTGAATCTCCCTCATCAGCTCCAACTCTACATCCCAGATGGTCTAATCCACCTCTCCAGAAGGACTGGTCGCGATACCGTATGGGAGGATGCTGCCAAATCGAATCTCATGTTTGCTCGTAACAGTCAGTTCCATCCGAGCAATATTGAGCACCGAGTCACAGACTAAGTGATTACTCAGGTACTGCAGCAAGGGCTACTTTGACCATGGCTTTTAATGACGGAGTATTCATGACACCAGAGGAAGAGCAAAAATGGATCGGATCCTGCACTGGTGAGACGGTTGACCACGCGAAACTCTACGCAATTGAGCTTCCATGGTCAAACCCCTGTTCTGGCGCCAAGTCCCATTCTTCGTCGCCGGAACTTCCTTCCCGGCCTGTCGTCGAGAAGTATGTTAAAGTGTACTGCTCATCCTACCAGAGTCGCGTCTTTCCGGTAATCAGCAAGGCACTCTTTACAGAGACTCTGGATCTCGCCTACGGACCAACCGATGTTTTTGGCTCCGATAGTGCCAGATCATGCGTGTATGCGTTTCTCTCGGTAATATACCTCTTCGGGCTCAATGGTAATCTAGTTGAAGCCCATGATTGCGAGACGTATGCCCGGGCTGCGCAGGACTTTATGGCTAGTCTTGTTTGTGAAATGACTCTCAGCGGCCTGCAGTCCATTATCATGCTTGTAAGTCGAGAGCTTCCCGTCTGGGAATCTTGCATCTTGTGTGAGTATCAGCTGACCTGCCACTTAGATCCAGCATCAATACTTCCTGGGTGATTTGCAGGCTGCTGCAGTTTCCGTGTCGATAGCCAGCCGCCTTCTATTCAGCCTCCGTGCTCACACAATGTCACCATGTGACAGCGCTTATCATAAAAGTGTAGCTGAGCACCACCTGCGCGATCTTTTCTGGCTATGCTATTCATTTGATAAAGACATTTGCCTGAGAATTGGGCAGCCTCCATGTATCAATGACACTCACTGTGACCTCACTCTGCCTATCGACTATGCGCAGCTGCAAGAGTCCAATATGCAACGAGAGACCAGGTCGAATACCGATGACACACTCCCTCTTTTTCCTTTTGACCTTCGACTTTCGATGATCAAGTCGAATGTCTATCAAGCTCTCTATTCCACAAATGCTGCGAAGAAGCCGGCTTCTGAGATATTATCGAGCATCCGGAGTCTGGATCAAGAGCTGGAGCAATGGAGACAGAGCTTACATCCGGATATCCGGCCCACGTTGTCTTTCCACGAAGAAACGCCGGTCAGTCGCGGCCTGAACACACAGGCAATCATGTTGCGGCTAGCATACTATCACTGCGTCGCACTCATCCATCAATCCATTGATAGGTGCCGTGGCTGCCAGATAAGGGATTTAGTCTCTAGTGACATGCTGGTCACGAATGTCAATCAGTCGACGCTTTCATTCCTCGAGATCGCGATGCCTGTCCTGGCAGGAGAATGTTTCTGGTGAGCGCTTGTGTCTGCGTCTCTGCACGAGACGGGAATGGTTGCTGACCGTAATCGATAGGGTGGTTATATTCTACGCAGTCACTGCAGTCCTAGCGTTGTTTCGCGCTATCCTCAAGAACCCCCTAGGTTCCAGTCTTATGAAAACTCTACGGGGCGTCCTAAAATTGATGCGTAAAGTCCCGGTTCGAACACCTACCCTTGGTGTTATCTTCCACGGACACTTTCTGAATACTTTCACCACCGAGCTTGTCCGACTAGCCGAGTGTGCAATTGCCAAGGCAGACCAGGATTCACGTGATTCGCCTTAGGCCGGCTTTCGAAGGAGAACGGGCCGCATCATGTCAGATAGTTCTACTCTACGGTACCCTACCGAGTACTTATAGACTACCGACTAGGCTCAAAATCGCCTGGACTACCTCCTCTGGACTCTCCTGAGGCGCCCAATGTCCCACGCCGTCAATCAATCGCATCTCGCGAAAGTCACTGCACACTTCTCCATTTGCCATCTTTTCCAAGGCGCCAGGCTGCTGGTAGATTCCCCAGTCGAGCTTGCCTGACACAAACGTGCTGGGAATGTCGATCTTTCGCCCCATGAACACCTCTGCGTCCCAGGTGTACTGCCTCCCTTTGGATGTCTGCACCCGGTACCAGTTCAAAGCCCCCTGGAACCCTGTCCGCTGGTATTCCCTCACGTACACCGCGAGATCCTCATCGGGCAGCCACTCCCGAGAGGCCCGCAACCCTTCCTCAGACTCCTTGCGCATGTGTAGCTCTACCGCCTCAGGCATCGTCGCGTCCGCTGGCATGACATAGTAGTACGGCATTTTGGCGAGCTCGTTGGCGGTCCAGCCGGTCAACGTGCGTGGCTCATTTCCTTTCCAGCGACCACTCTTGAGGTGGAAATACCCCCGCAGGAAGCCATGAAGCCCTTCCGCTCCGGGAGGGTGGAGCATATCGGCGCTGGCAGACGGAGTCGAGTAGTACCATTTATAGTGCTTGCGGCCCAGATCCAGTAGGGCAGAGTGCACGTCGTCTCCTGCGCTGGATACGGGACCGTCGCTTGTCGAGGTTTGGGGGACAGCAGAACCAGCTGGCTGCTGCTGCTGCTGCTGCTGCTGACCATCCACAGACGTAGCAACAGCACTCGCTGGCGCCGGCATGCCATTGAAAGGATGGCTGAGCAGCACAACGCTACGGAAGAGATCCGGCCGGGCCACGGCGCACATGGCGGCGGTCACGGCGCCGCAATCGTGCCCGACCACGCAGTGGACGGAGGTGTACCGCAGTGCATACACGAGGAGGACGACATCGCGGACGAGGGCGGAGACGGTGAACGTGTGCAGGTCCGCCTCGGCGTAGGGGCGGGTGTCCCAACCGCACGTACGACCGAAGCCCCGCTGGTCGGGAGCCACGACATGGTACCCGGCGGCGGCGAGACGGGGGATGACTTTCCGCCAGGAGAAGGCAATTTCCGGGAACCCGTGGAGAAGGATTATTAGGGGTCGGTCATGGTTGTTGTTGTTATTATATGGTGGGTGACCAGCTTCGAGGATGTGGGTTGTTAGGGAGGGAGTGGTTATGAAGCGGGAGGTTATGCCGGATGGGAGTGGAAGGGGAGAGAGTGATGATGATGGTGATGGTGGTGATACCGATGTTGTCATGATTAGGAGGGATTTGTGGACTCGCAAAAGTATACGGGGGAAGATTGGTTACGGGAGTGTGGGGGGAGGTGGGATGTGAGTAAATGTGTTTTATGAGTAATTATGCAAAGATCGGGTAAGTGGCACGATCTGACGATCGGTAGATGGAGTTGATCGGATACAAAATTCAAGTCTTGCGCTATGACGATGATGATGATGGTGATGGGGATGTGGGATGAGGATGAGGATGATGATGATGACGATGGGTCTGCCATGATGAAACTTTGAACCCAACTAACTAGTTAACTGTGTGGCTCCAAAAGTGCCTGCCTGATGGGGCTTAGTGTAGAAGATCACGTTCTTGCGGCGGACCGGAGCTTTTCCTGATCGAGACGAACCAATGATGAATCTCCCCTTTGGATTGAACTTTGGAGCGCAATGGAACGAACCATTCTTGTTCCTCTCTCTCCACGCAGGCTTATTCCTAATTCCTTATTCCTTATTCCAAACTGACTCGGGCTCAATCCCATTCGAACCTCGACCCGATTTCAATGACGCAACCAATTTCTGCAGCCCAACTACGGTTCTGGCCCTTTTTTCTCTCCTGCCGATAGTTAATCCAGACCAGACCAGACCAGACATCTTTCTTTCCTTTGCTGCCTCCCCCTCTCAGTACTCCGTACCTCCCCGTCCTTCTCTTTCGTCTTGTCTATTGCTATCCTGTGCTGTGCACTGTGTGCCATCCCCCCTCGTCTTCGCTTTATCCCCGTCGTGCAGGTCCTGCATTCTCCTTGCTTCCTTTTTCCTCCCCCCCTTTCCGATATCCTGCATCTGCACTCACTCACTTTTCCCGTTGCTGCTGCGACTCTCTTTCCGTTTGTTTTCTTACCTTCCGTCGACCTCCGTCGCTATCCCCTTGATCGAAAACGTTCCTACACTACATCAAATCGCCCATTCAACCCATCCACATATGCTATAAGTTGATTTTGAGGGCTCAGTCGCTTGCAAACTCAATTGCGCTCGTTTTGGGCAACGACCGCCTGAGCCATGTTCCGCAGAAAGAGGAGCTCCTCTCAACATAAGGTAACCCCCCTCACCGTGGGAATGGCATTCGGATCTTCGACGAGCTAAACGCCGCTCATTCATCTAGCATCCTCTCTCGGCCTCCTCCTCCCAATCCGCGCAATCCGCTGCCAGCCATGCTTTTCTCAAATCCCAACCCTCCTCCAGCAGTCTCTCCTCCGCCGCCGCGGCCGCCGCCCTGCGCAGCCTCACACCCACCCCAACCCCCGTCGAAAATGTGCAGACCAAGCGGATGATGCAGCGGCGGACTTCCGTCTCCTCGCAACTGAGCGGCACGCCGAGCTTGCGACCCATCAGCGGAAATGGGGTCCGTCGCTCCAGCAGTTCCGCCTCCATGACGCATCGCACATTTCGAGATCAATCCCCGCGGCGACCCGCATCCAGCGCTGGACATGTCGACCCCGCACCGCCGCTCCCGTCCATCCCCCGCGAATATACCGGGCGAAAGGACCAAGCACGTCGATCGGTGAGCATGGGCCCATCGCTGCGACAAAGTCCGCACGGGAAATCGATGGCCGACCAGGGAACAACCGGGGATCGCACTGCTGCCCCCAAGCCGCCGACACGAGCGCCTGCACAAGCGCCCGCGTCGACGCCGTCCCCTGAGCTGCGACGACCCGCGAGTCGAAACTCGATCAATTTCTCATATCCGATGGGCTCACGTCCGACATCGCCGACGGGCTTGATGGAAATGGATGCATCGACGACTACCTCTCTGGCTGGTCAGCTTTCCGCTCCAGAGTCTCCGAAGGTCACAAGCAATAGTCCCCGAGCAACGCGCGGTGCCAAAACAAGGGGTGTCTCCCCGGGTAGCCCGGGACAGCGTCCATCGTCTGCAGGGACTGCGGTGGCTGCTGCACAAGCTGCCATTGTACCCCGGAGCCAAGAAGCGAGTGCCGTTGCTGCGTCTCCACGGAGACCCTCTTCTCAAGATCGATGTATTCCGGACACAGCACCGACCCAACAGCTCCTGGCCCCCGAAGCCCGACATCCTACACGCCCTGCCTTGGTGAAACGCCCGTCGACAGTGCCGGAAGATGCTCAAGGGGAGGAACAGGCAGAAACCTCAGGCCCCGCGCAGCGAGCAGAGCTCCCTCGTGGGGGTACCGTAACGCCAGAGAGCCCACAGACCATCAAACCACAATCTACACCGGACCAGACCAAGGATCAATTACTCAGTCCACCCATAAGCCCACCGAGCTCGCAGCCTTCCGTCGACGCCAGTGTTGAACAGCAGTCGTCACATATGCGTCAATCCAGCAGTCCCGGGCGCTCCGCTCGCTTCTCACGCCATCTACTGGTGGCGAACCTTCCGAGCGATCACCTTCACCAACCCCCACCAAGGTCCGTGTCCCCGGCCAAATCTGCACTGAAACATCCCCGCAAAGATGGCTTTGCTTCCGATTCCCACCCGGAGACAGTGCTGCGACCAGGCCCTGCGCTCAGTGAACTATCCGATGGCACTTCCGTCGCATCTGATGATGGTTCAAAGCAAGGGGCTCGAAAGAGGCATGCCAAAGTCAGCTTCGATGATGAGGCAGAAATCGTGGGCACGGCAGCGAGCCCGCCGACATCTCCCGACGAAGTTCTGCCCGAGTCGCCGCAGTCCAAGCCCAAGAGTAAGGGTGGGTGGTTTGCTAAGCGTAAGCATAACTTACGAAGCGGGACGCCTGATGAATTCGAGCATATGTTGAAACCTCGACTTGCTCTGCCATCATTTGGCAGCATTCGAGGTAACAGGTCGGGAGGCCAGCCGGAGCCGCAGCCTCGCGAGATTAGCGACAATGAATCCACGACTTCGTCCGACTCTCCAATCGATACGTCGAGGTTTTCATTCTCTAATGACCATGCTGTGGGAAGTGTCCTAGCCAATTCTCAGAATGAGGCGCCGCAAGAGAGCACGACGCATAACCGTCCAGCTAGCCCCCTTCCAGCAGTGTTGGAGCTAGAAAGTCCGTCAGAATCGAGTCACCAGGATGATCGGGTAGAACAGCCAGGCACGGCTATCAGCCGCCCGGCGGAGGTCAACGCCCCAGCTGAGGCAACACAACCACAAACTCCTAGACAGAATTTGGCAGTTCCTGATATTACCGTTCAGCCAGCTTCGCCCGAACTTGAAAAGGAGCGCCCGAGCTTGGAATGGTACGAAGTCCCCGGGGGCTTCCCACGTTCCTCTTTAGACTCGGACCCCACACAGGCAAAGCCCAAGAGAAAGTCAATCACATGGGACGACACCGATGTCATGGTCGATTCAGCCGCAGAGCGAGAGACTGATGACGAGTCCGGTGAGAGCATTTACAGTGATGCGGAGGAGGGCGTCAATGGCCATGGCTTTGGCTCTATTGATGCTGTCGTCGATGGCCGGCAGTCGGCCCCATCGTTCCAAGGCGCAGCAGCAGGACTTGGTCTTTCCGAAAAGAATCAGCATCATACGGATGACTGGTCGGATTCGGAGTATCCACAGACCTGCCAGATTGCCCGCGCGAGCTCTCCTGTGCAAGATACAGCCCTTAGTTCCGTCCCAGAATCCCCCGAATCGGTGCATCAAGCTATGCCTTTCTCGTCTCCCTATCCTCCTTTCGCCGCCCAGTCACAGGGGAAAAGTCAAAGTGCTTCATCCCAAGCCAGTCTCGCACGATCGACTTCTCACCATGTCAAATCTGTTGGACAATCCAACCCAGGCAATCGTGCAGACAACACGGCAACGAAGACTTCTGACCTCCCGCAGGCGAGTGCAACGCAGTCAACTGCTACTCAATACCGGGCCAGGCCAATGTCATGGAGTCCTGCTGCCATGCAGAATGGAGTCGGTAGTAAGAATCGTGCGTCAGCAGTGAACGGCAAGGCACCAACTCCGCGAAGAACATTGTCCAGTGGCAGCGATTCTTCGAGTAGTTTCAAGCGAGCCAGTCGTCCATCTCGGGCAGAGTCGAACCACACTATGCGTCTGACAATGCGGGGCAGCCCCCCAGTCCGACAGGCCCCAGCCCGGGCAATCTCCCCACCAGCCGACTCACGTCCGCGTTCGCCGCAATCGGGGGGTAATATGCGGACGACGCTTCGAATGAACGGAAACAAACGCGAGAAGGGCTCATTCTTTTCCAACAAGTCGCCGAAGAATAAGGTATCCAAGGTACCGGGTAGTCGATTCACTTCACGCTTCCCTGATTCGGACGACGACGAGGGCTTCGACAACTGGCGATCACGATATCGGTATGACGACTCTAGTGACGACGAGGATGAACGAACCCCAGCTCCGCTGCCCCCTGTTCGAGGGATACCTCGGCGACAGGGCGCTCACGATGGCGATTCAACGGAGCTAGAAGACAGCTCCGACGAGGAGCGACAGGCGGCTGCGTCTCGACCGCGAGCTGCTGTGCCATCTCCCCGCAAGTCAGGCTCAACGCGGGACCCTGCCTTGGCAGCAGTGGCTCGGAGTCGTGGAATGACGGATGAGGAGATGGACGAGTTTCTTCAGCCCAATCGAGGGCGCAAGGCGGGACTGTTCCACCGGTTCAGCATGCGCAAGTCCAAATCGCCTGTCAATCGCAGGTCCCTCACAAATGGTACTACTCGAAATGGCGGTCTTCCAGAGCGTTCGCGAGCCGAAGGCGAACCAGACCCCCCGCTGCCTGGAGCTCAAACCAACGTCGTCACCACTATCACGGCGACCAATCCGCCGCCGCCAACCTCGTCCAAGCTTGTGCGACGTGCGTCGCAACGGTCCTCGCGCAGTGACGGATGGCCATTGCGAACCGAGCGCAAAGAGTTGGGAAATGCACCTGCAGCTACCACCAACGGTGTTGACGAGCGCCTCGCGACAGTTGATGAAGATGCCCGCAATAAGCCGATCACCGCTCCTGCCGGTGGACCCGCCTCTAAAGAAAACCAGGATCCTTCCGTCCCAGCATCAGCAATGAAGAACAATTCTCGTCCTGCCGCAGACGTTGTCATTGGATCTTCTGGACGCAAAAAGCGCTTTCCCCGACTCCGCAAAGCTTTCGGCTTGCGTGACTGACCGACTCCACACTTTTTATTCACTTTCACTTCTGATATATATATTGCACCATCTTTTGCCATTCTTCTTCCCTCCTTTGCACTTTTTCTTCTTTATCTGATCCATTCGATGTACTTTGTTATAATAACCGCGGAGCCTACTTTGCATCCGCAAACCACTACCTATAATCATAATGCAGGCCAATGATGCTTACCAAAAGGATTTTTGTCGGAGAGTCTAGGCAGCTTTGCTTTCCACAACAACAAGGATAAAGTGGGTGGAGGCCACCTGATTCAGTGGTCTTTGTGTGTGTGTGATGGAGGAGCTTTCACCACCGGGGTACTTTAATGAGATATACGGGATTCTTTCTGTTGTTGTTGTTGTCTTCCACATGTGGTTGTGGCTATGGGTACGGGGACACCTGGCGCTTGGGATCGGTGGCGGTCGGATGGTTGGATGGACGGACATGTGGGATTATGTTTTCTTTTCAACTAGGGTTTGAAAATTGGTTGATACCCTTCGTTTTAAGGTCGTGATGAAGATGCGCGGTCGATGGACTGAATAAGACAGTGTTGTTGTGTGTAAGCTGAATCTAATCAACGGGGTTTGTCGATGACCGCTCAATATAAACTTCGTAGTTTCTTGTTCTTGAGCTAAAAGGGAAGGAGTACTCCGTACCTCCAACTGACAGTACTGGAGCTGGGGTAGGGGTACCTAGTAATATCTCGTGCCTGCAGGGGTACTATAGCTGAGCCTCAGGGCTCAGTCTTCCACCCACCTTCCCATCTCGGCCATCAATTCCTCAATCCTCTCTTTTCCCGGCCGGACCACGCGTGTATCTCGATCTCCATCATGGATGAGATAGATAGATCCCACGCAGTGTCCCTAGTACAGTACAATACAGAGCACGCCCAACGCGCGCACGAGCAGAGCAAAGAAGTACTGTACTGTACTGTACTCTCCTCTACCGAGCAGGGATATATATACACGCCCTGAATCCTCCGCAGACTTCCACTGCATAATAGAAACCCCCCTCTCTTCCCCCGGGTTCCACAATCCATGGTCTGGATCCCCCTTCCCCCTTGGACAAACCCATCGAATCTCATGTCCACCCTGCCACCCGCGTTCGCGTTCAGCCCAATAACTAGGTAAACAAGCAGTCTGCCACCACCTCACACACCACACTGTCCCCAATTCAATCAACGTATCAACCTTCCCCCCTGCCCGCCATTCATTGGAATAGTACAGTCGAAATCAACCCGTCGATCCCATCTCCATACCAGAGCACCCTCCACCGCACGCAGGAGTGCCATCCCATCGACGGGAACCCAAATTCGCGCGGGGATTGGCGCAGAGCTACGGAGTAGCCTACCCGGGAGAGAGAGCCGACAGCGCGGCGTACGGTACTGTACTGCACTGCACTGCACAGGTAGGTGTACATGCCTACTACAACAGGATAGCCAGGTGTGTGCATACCTACTACAACAGGACAGGACAGGACAGGACAGGACAGGACATGATACTATCCCCCCTCTGAGCCTCTGGGAGGATGAGATATACATTTCTGAATCGGATTGAATGTATGTATGTAACCTACATGATTATTATGTGATTTCTCGCGCAGGAGTCTCGAGGGGGGGTTCTTTCCTTCGTTTGGAAGGGGGCAGGTTGCGGGCGTATTTCGCTGCGATCTATCATTGGTATTATAATACTATAAGTTAGCTGGCCACGGGAGAAGAAAGAAATAACAGTCATGGTGTCTTTCCCTCTACTAGGCAAAGCAGTCATGGAACAGCCATTTGCCTGCCACTCGTCACATTACCACTATCGCCAATAATCACCGGTAAAGATAGACATTTCTCGTGGGACTCGAACTGGGCTTCTTCTACTGTCCAAGCTGTGGTCGATCCCCCAACCACTACCTCTGAAGCTGACTTCATCTTTGCGTGTTCAACTGTCCGAATGTGCCAATGCAGGTGCCATAGGGAATCGGATGGTTAGGGCCACAAGATCAAAAGACTTAGCATGTCCTACTGCACTACAAGCAAAGGGAGTACTCTAGCCACTGGACCAACGGGTGCATAGCCGGTCCATTGTCGATAAAATAATCAGTCTACTCAAAGCCAGTTCTAGATCATGATCTACATCCATTATTGCTAGATACAAGAAGGCCATGATACATTCGAGTAAACAATTTTTGTCAAAAGGCCATTCCGTCATACGTGAATCCATCAGATACAAGATTTAAGTTCTTAGGTCATCAATGATCGTGCGCTGCGAGTGAAAAAGAAAAAGACAAAAGAAAAGTCAAAGACCCATGGGCGGTCCGTGGTTGATGCTTTGCGGGAGTGACCACGGTTCCCACCCACGGGCACCATACCCAACCGAGTAAAGGCTTACAAGCGGGAAGCGTGGACCACCTTGTAGTCAACGACCAACTCGCGGCCACCGTCGTTGATGACAAGGGCACGGACGCTGCCACGGCCATCCTCGAACGCCTCGCGGATGCGACGGAAGAGGTGGCCCTGGGGAACGACGGGCAGGCCCTGCTTGACATCACCGGTCTCGGTCATGGCGACCAGGCGGCCGTCATCGCGGAGGTCCAGGATGCGGTAGGTCTTGTAGACGGGACCAAGCATGGTCTGAACGACCACCGAGGGGGAGGGGTTGGAGACGAAGCTGGACTCCTCCTGGAGCTCCCGGGTGAAGAGGTCGACACCCAGGTAACGGTGCTGGCCGGTCTGGGGGGAGACGGAGATGCGGATCACCTGGCAGGGACGACCCTGGAGGATCAGGATGTCGCCGATGCGGATGAAGTGGACGGGGATCGGCACGGTCTCGGCGGTGGCGGAAGAGTTGCCGGCGCGGGGCTCCACAATGCGGACATCCTCGCGGACGCCTTCACGGAATCGAACTGGCCCGCGTTCGTCAGCGACGACTAGTTCCTCGTGGTCTTTGTGACCATGGTGGTGGTGGTGGGAGGAGGTGGGGTGCATGATGCGGTCGGCAACGCGCTCCACACCACGACGGAAGGAGTGATAGTTACCGTCGTCGTCGTAGTAGCCCATCTTGCGAGAAGGAGGGGAATCCACAACAGTCTTGGGCTTGTAGACCTTAACGTTGGCTGAAGAAGCAGGAGCTTGGGGAACCGGCTCAACGCTCTGTTGACGGCGGCTGTAGGGGTCCCGTTGGTAGCTGTCGACGGGCTTGGACTGGTACGCACGGTCGTAAGAGACGTCGATCTCTGATTGGACAGTGCGGTCGTACGATACGTCCCTGGTCGGCTGGCGGGGGCCTGGAGCGTAAGAGTCTACAACAGGAGCCTGGGTAGACCGGTTGTAGGCGGGGTTGACGTCGTAGGTAGGGTTGTTGACCCGACGACGGTACTCACGCTCAGTGATATCGAGCTGAGTCTGAAGAGCTTGATCGTACGTGGGCTGACGGTCTTGGAAACGGACCGACGGTTCACGATAGCTGTAGAGGGAAGAAAGGATGAGATGTCAGATAGGGATTGACAAGGGAGGGGAAGCGGATAAGAGATGATTGGGTGGGACAAGAGAAAAGAAAGGTGTGTAAGTATGAGGGGGAGGGAAGGGGGGAGAGGCAATAGTCAGGTAAGGTGTATGTGTGTGGGTGGGAAAGTATAAGAAGGCGGGTGGTGGAGGAGAAAAGAGGAGAAAGAGAGGAGAGGATGGGGAATGGGAATGAGTGGGAAGGCACGGGAAGACCCAGTCAGCTTCCCTTTAGGGCCAAGGCACCATTGGGTGATTTGTTTGTTTTGGTGCCACGTAAGAAACGAGAAAACAGAAATGAAAACAAAAGAAATAAAATAATAATAATAATAATAATAACAAATCAAAAAGACCGACCACTAAGAAGTGGAGGAAGCGAACTAAAGCGCATTAGGCCAAGAGAGATTCGATGATGGTGACACCGCTTCTTTTGGCCTCTCTCTCTTTCTCCACTTGGTTTGCTGTCGGTGCTAGACCATAGTCTAGGCAGACACCGGACAAGTCTTTATAACCATACAAACAGAAAACGTTTCAATTGATTTCAACATACCGTTCGCGAGTTAGATCAACCTCAGGATACCGGGGCGGAGGAGCAGTACTAGTGGTAGTAGTGACTCGCTCGTCAAAGTGGACACTGACGTCGTTGGGGCGCGAAGAGTGCCTGTGGTGGTGATGTTCGTGCCGATGAGGCTCGGGCGCAGCAGGAGTAAACTGATCGCGCTCAACGAAGTGAAGGTCGATTTCTTCCTTTCCGTAGACACGCGGGTCGGGAAGAGGAGCAGAGGTTCGAGTATCTTCCCGTTCGACGTGCGAAGTGCGATCGAGATTGACTTCTTCCTCTACTCTGGCTGTGGCCGCAAGAGTAGCTTCAGGAACAGCGTCACTCCGGTACGACGACGGGAAGACACTGAAGGGGATGGGGACGCGGGCGTCAAAGTCCAGATTGGCTGTCCTGTCGGCGTCCTTTCTCGAATCCCTTTCGAACTGTTAAACAACAACTCGAAAGGCGAGACAAGAAAAGACTCTTAAGGAAGAGAGAAGTCTTTCTCGTAGAGAGATGGGAGGAGGGGGTGTGGAGGGAAAGTTGATAGATCAAACTACCCGAAGAATGCGGAGAAAGTTCCTGATGAGGAATGTGAGATAAAAGATAAGCTTAAAAAGCTTGAGGGGATTGGAATGTGAGGGTAAGGGAAGAAGAGATGAAAGAGGATGGAGAAAGAAGAGAGGAAGGGGAAGAAGAGAAGAGAGAGGAGAAGGACAGAAGTGGAGGAGGAGGAGGGGAACAAACCCGCTGAAATACAATTGCGGATGGTTTCCCTCGTCACGCGTTTTGTTTACCACACCTTGCCGTTTCTGGGGGGCGATGTTATTCCCAGACATCCCCCATTATCCCTATCTAATCAGCTTCTAACCCACTCCAATTGACTTTCTAGTCCCTTCCTCCTCCTTTGCCCAGTTCATTAGGATTCCATACTATCAAATCTACAATTGAAGAGGCAGGTGGGTTGGTGGGTGGGTGGGAAAGGGAAACGACCCGAGGTTCAGAAATCCGCCTACAAACCACGGTTCCTGAATCTGCAACTCAAACTTACTCCAGTCCACATACCACAACTTATCTCGACCACGCTGATCTATATAGGGAATTTATCCTCCCAAATCAGACCCAACTAGCGCTAACAACCTTGATCCACCGCGCAATTGATTGATCAAATCTTCCCTCCTCGTTCACATGCAGGCCGACCCTGCTGTATCGTCCCCCCAACGCACACACCACGAGGCTGGCCAGCCACCTCCGGGTCCCCATGGCAACTGGGCCGGTTTCCCCGGGTCGCATCGGAAATCCGAGCTCTCTGGAGCTGGAGCTTCAGCCGATCGACGCTCCATGCGCTTGCCTGCTGCCAGCCCCTCTCTTTCGTCCGTCCATCCCGCGCTCGCTCTTAGACAATCACTTTTAGCAACAACCGAGGAAACAACCCGAGAAAAAGAAAACATCCAAGCAATAAAATAAGCTGGAGGCTGGGGTCTGGCGTGTTCTCGCTCCGACCATCCCATCGTCAAATGTTCTCGGTCAGCAAGAGCTCAGCTCTCTGGATCAGTTATCATACACGGTAGTTGTGTAAATGTGTATGATCGGGCCTACAAGCAGCAACCTGCCTGCAGCATGATGTTTCTTCAAACGCCGTGGCCTTGCCCACAGTTGGCTGGACCATGATCCATTTCAGGTGCCTATTCGTGGTCTCCGGCCATTGGAGAGCTGGTCGTTGAGCAAGCACCTCAGTCCCCGTTGCCTCTGGGGGGAGCGCCCAGCTTGCTGCTGATCTCACTGGGATGTGGACCCGACCGGGGAGGGGGCCACTCAACGGCCCAGCCATTCATGATCCAGGATCCATCAATCCAGCCAGCCAATTCCCAGCCTCACTTCGGTAGCATTTCGCTTCCAGCCTGTCACATTGGTGCATTGGCGCTGACTATTATTAACTCTCTTCGAGAGCGGAGAGATACGTAGCAAAGGTCGGTCGGATCACAGCTGGTTGTTTCGGGTGGAAGGTTAGTCTCGATGTCTTAAGTGTGGACAGACCCACCTGCTTTCCGTCCTGTGTAGGATTTCCTTGGTCTGGCACCGTAGGAGCCAAAATGGTGTGTGTCCGTAGCGAAGCCGGTGTGATGTAGCGGCTCCCCTGGTAAGGTAGATATGCTAGTCTAGAATTATAATATCGTGGCTATGGAGTTCTGCAAGTAGTTCTGAGATCTGATCCACCTATCTTCGTCGAGGCCAGAAGGTTTAGGATCATGCCCGTCAACGCAGTCAAGTGTACATACTCTGTCCTCTGTGATTCCACTACAATCAAACGCATGATAAGGCGTATTTCATCACACAACCGGTACCCATTTTCATCCTAGACCAGGCCTTCCTTTCAGTCGAGATTATGAGATTCGAGGAACCTAATCGAGCCGTTCGGATCTTTCGGATAAGTGAGAATGTCATTCGATATTAGAACGATACTTTTATTGTCATTCTTCGACCGTTTCGTTGGGATTATCTTCTACGGGGTGGACAGAGCCAATATTCAACCTGTGATCATTCAAATGCTTGCATTCAATCAACTACCTCTGGAACTTGACATACAACTACTTCAAGCACATGCTACAGACCATGCAGAGCAACAATACTGCTCCCGTACTCCCGGACTGGCCTTCAGGCCGTCGCAGACACTTGTTAGTCCTAGAACGCATTGGGAAACAGTACTCACTGAAACGCGGAAGGGATATCTAGTGTAGAGTAGTCTGGGGTTGCGAGCACACACCCCGCAGCACCACCGAAGTTGTTTCTTGCAGGTAGAGTCGCAGGGCGGCGTCTGTTCAATCTGTGCGCTCTTAGAGGTTTCGTAGTCGGTTGAGATCACGGAGTCGACCCGTAAACCTGAAGTGCACTGCTTTGAGCGTTCCTCACTTCACCAAGTCTGGTACATGTCGACTTAGTCACTGTGCATGGCGCTAAAGGTGGATGAAAACCCACCCCTCATTCTCTTTTCGACTGGACTGCGAATCGGCTTCGAAACGACCGTATCCAAGTATACATGATGATAACAGTGCCAGAATTCTCGTGTCGAGAAGTCACGAAGCGACCCACAACGACGCGCGACCTGATCGAGCGCTTCAAGGCTGTCGGCCCACAAACCGAACATGGAAAAGCGCTTCATGGTTTGGCGACACGCATGCTCGACATCTTCAAAGACGAAAAAAAGCCATCGTACTCGAATGAAGCAGCCCAGCTGTCAACGATCTTGTCCGACACGGAGTCCGCGGGACTTCTGGAAGCGTTCATCAATGCCGTCAGCCGCGGCGCCAGCGACAATGAGCTTGTTGACACCCGCTTGCTCATGGATCTGTGCTACGTTCTTCGAAACTCCAAGGAGAGTATATCGAAGCAGCACTTGCTGAAACCTTTACTCGCCAACCTCCACACGCGAATCAAGAGTGCAGATGGCGCCCTCGAGAAACAATACCAACTTATCTGTACCCTGGCAACGTTGCTTGACGCCATGGTCGACATCAAGATATCAGATGTCAGCCGAGAAACCACACACGAGCCGCTTCTGAGTAAACTGAAGTCGCTTCGCAATCATCTGGAGCCTCGTCTGGCTCAGGCCGCTTGTTATGCACATGAAGCGTTGCGCGGGGTCCCGGACGATGAAGGGCAATGGCAGGCCCTCTGTCGCTATAGCTGGATGTTCCTGGAGCCTACTGCGAAGATCGCAGGTGCAATATCCACCATGGATCCCACCAAGGCAATCGATGCGACATCGGACATATTCAAACTGTTGGAGACTCTCAAAAGTGTCATCGAAGCCGGCAGGGACGTGTACACCGCATCGGAATCGCTTCGGGACTTGTTTCTGCAGACTCTAGGCTATTTGCCCAGGGAAAAGCTGTGGTACGGTGCACTCAGGTACAGTGGGTTACTGATTGAGGATCGTGCATTGAAGACATTGAAAGACCTTCTACCACGACTGGATTGTCTAAGCAATGAATCTTTCTGGTGTGGTCTCTACGCTCAACTTGAGCAAAGCTGGAAGAAGCATGAAGAAATGAGAGACGGAATTGAGACGTTCATTGAGTGGACGCTATACGACTTTCCGGTTCAAAAAAGCTGCCCGAGACAGACGGGAAAGGAATTCCCAAGATTCCAGTCTTGGATTGCACTTGTCGCCAACACCCTTGGTAAGCTGGATTGGAAGAAGGACCAGCCACCCTCATCTTGGAGACGTCGCATTTTTAAGAAGACCGAATATATGCCCACGCTGGAGATCTTTTGTAAGTTGGAACAACCGGATGGTCTCAGCCACGCCGGTCTTCTTGACAAAGCCTGGTCCAAATGCGAGAAGGCGCAAGCATTCTTTGCGCAGGTGGCCGCAGCGGAGCATTACACGAAGGGGAAGCGTCTGGAGATCACGCGAGTTTCTGGGGCCCTACTTCCGATGGAACGGTGCTACATCAATCTGGCGATCATAGAATCTGTGGCGAAGGATGGGAAGTCTCTCGATCCGATGGCCCAACGACAAGCTGAACTTTCATTGTTCAAGCAGCTCAAGGTTGCACGGCCCGAGAGAGAGAAAGAATTATGTTTGGAGGAGCTGTTCAATCCGCGGACCCTACGTAATGGCACGTCCAATCGGCCAAAACGAGTCTTGATCCGAGGGCGAGCTGGGGTTGGAAAGACTACCCTGTGCAAAAAGATAATGCACGAATTTCACCACAACAACATGTGGAAAAGCCATTTCAAGCATATCTTCTGGGTTCCTCTTCGAAGACTCAAAGGCCAAGCGAATTTGGAGGGATACTTGAAACAGGAGTATTTCCTGCTGGATAACGACAAGGAGATTCTAGTCCAGGCTCTCCTGAGAGTTGTGCTGGACCAAAGAAGAACCCTCCTCATATTGGACGGCCTCGACGAGATTGTGGGGGAGAGCAGCATATCTGGAGATGAAGTGACTCAAGTCTTCAAGGAGCTGTTTGCTCGTGAGAATATAATTGTTACTTCAAGGCCGTATGCTGCGGTTCCTGCCGGTGGGGAAGCATTTGACCTGGAGTTGGAGACTATCGGATTTCGCCCCCAAGAAGTCAAGGAATACATCCGGAGTGTCGTTGACCCCGAGTCAAGTGAGAACATCGAGCAATTCATCGAGCGATATCCGATCATACAAGGACTGGTTCAAATTCCGATCCAACTGGACGCACTTTGCTTCGGATGGGATACTAAAGATGGTGATTTCCTACCCGATACTCAGAAGACAATGACTACTCTGTATCAGGCAATCGAAAAGAAATTGTGGCGGAAGGACACGCAACAGTTGCTCGGAAAGAGTCCCTACGAAGCCCGGCAATATCGTGAATTAGGACAGATCAAGAAGGAATTGGCTGCCGAAGTCGAGGCGATCGAAACATTGGGATTCTACGGTCTTGTTGAAAATATTATCGAGTTTCAACCTGGGCACCTAAAAGCTCTCTACACCCAGTTTCCGCAGCTGAATGATGGGCATCTGAGCAAGATGTCCTTTTTGCGAACTTCCGATACATCCTCTGATGATATGAAAAACTATCACTTCCTCCATCTCACCTTCCAGGAATTCTTCGCTGCGCAGTATTTTGTCCGATTTTGGATCGATGAGAAGGCAATACCGTTGGCCACCATTTCTTCCAATGGAGTTATCAGAACTACAGATATCGTCCCAGAGCAATTCCTCCGGCGGGAAAAGTACGCACCACGGTACAACATCATGTGGCGATTTGTGGCCGGGCTGCTGTCTGTCACAAACAGAGGGAAGCTAGTGGATTTCATGAAAGCATTGGAAAGTGAACCGCGTGACGTCTTCGGCCCTGCCCATCTGCGGATTCTTATGCACTGCTTTAGTGAAGTGGGCTTAACGGATAACGATGAAGCACTGGGACATTTACACGCGGATGTCGAAAGGCGGTTGCTGCGACTGTTCCTGACCATAGTTCCTAACCCGTATACCCGCTATGCCTCGCTGGCGAAGGAGATGGAATTTCCGGAGCGTCTAATCGAGGACGCCCTTCGCCTCCGACCTTCCGATTATGATGATTTTGGATTCTATTCTGACTTTCTCCGTGAGCGCTTCAGATCGTCCACTCTTCCTCGGGGACTGGTCGAATGTCTCATTTCCAGCCTACATTCGTATCTTCCGTTCATAGTTGGGCATTTCCACAAGTCTTTTCCAACACTTGCTTTGGATTATGTACAATGTCCGGACTCGTGGCAAGGGAGGAAATTTTACTGGGGTTTGATCCATCGGCCGCGGGAGTCTGAGAGCCTTCCAGAAGGTATTGCCAACGGGGTGATACAGAATGCCGACGGAAATAAATTTGTGCCTGTGGTTATCTTGTCAAGGGATCCGGCCCTTTCGATTGATGCCCGTACATTTGTTCTCTCAAGGCTCCTTGATATTAGTATCCCACTTCGCAGTCTCAGAGATGTGAAGAAAGGATATTACCTCCCTGCTCAAGAAACACTGCTTTCACTCTTGAATCATGACGAGTTTGAGATGAGAATGCGTGGAGCTTGTCTCTCAGCATTGTACAGTCACCTCGATGTCAGTGTGCTGGAAAGACTACTCAGTTTGGCGGAATCTGAATATGACACCTCGGACGTACATAGGTGGATTGCCGAGGCGCTCATCAATCAGCAAACATTACCCAACTCGGTCTTACAGCAGGCATTGGACTTTTGCCGCAGGGAAAACTTCGCGGACGACATCCGTCTTATGCCCAGTTGTACCATCCTCGTCAAGAACTCTTTGTTGCAAGATCAAGACTACGAAGCCTTATTCTCGAACGGTAGCTGGCAATTATGCCTTGAAAAATGTCGAGATTCACTCTCTGGTCTCTTGCATAGATTCACAGATCAAGTCCTCGCTCTTTTACATAGCAACGACAGCTCTGTTGTTGATCGTGCGCTGCGGAGTATGAGATCGTTGAATGACTTACCGGAGCAGATTGTTGAATCCTTGGTAACAATAGTCATGCATGACACATTTCATGCTAGAATGATGGCAGTGGGTGTTCTGTCAAGGGTTGAGATCCCTGCCAATCAAGCTCGCAGTATAGTGGCTGCTGTTTCCGGACGCGAATGGGTTGTCGTGTTCCAAAGCTCCCGAATGATCCCAGGGGATGTTCTCAAGTTGTTACTTCCGCACGTGGACACAAATGTGTCCCGTCGACAATACGACCCTGTCATCGCAATTCTGCGCAATCAAATCGACCTCCCAACAACCATCATTGAAGACCTGCTTTCCTCAATGGAAAGCGACTCAGCACCGGAAGGGGCAGCGAATGCGGCAGAGCGCGTCTTGAGAGATCGCGCCCAATTCTATTCAATGTTACCAGGGCTCAGTCAGCGGGTCTGGCAAGTTTTCTTCGAAATCTGGACTGTGAGAAGCATCGAAGAAAACCTCAATTTCTACGTTCTGGATGATGTGCTCTACATCATCATGCCTGAGGGCTCCTGGAAAGTGAAGATCGATACTCCGGAAGTGAGGGAGAAGCTCGAGTGTGGGATCAGGGCTGCTGAGCGAAGGCTCAGAACGCTTGAGGTTGAGTCGTGTCCTCCAGATTTGCTGGGTGACTAGGTAGGGCGAGCTCATAGACTTGCCTTTCTCAAGTGTGCATGGACTGATCGGTACATGGAAAGCTTCAGGCGCAATTCCTCCATCTGTTGTAGAATTGTTGGATGATTAGACTTCCAAACTCTCGCGTGAACTACAAGCAAATACGGGTTACAGCAAGACCGCAATGAGTCCTTGCACATGACTTGCATGGTTCTGAACTGACCCGATCGCATCCATGGGCGTATGCAAATCAACAGCTCATGTACTTACTCTATGGTGCTGTGAGTCAATGTCCCGGGAGCGTTTTCCCCGTACCAGTGGGGACAAGAGTACTGTACAAGTCTGGGAGCTCACTTACGATGTTGATCGCCGCGATGCTACTGAATCATCCACAGGTTGATGAAAAGGCACGACAGGCATGCTTGGGCCGCAGGATAGAGTAAGGCTATGGAAGCTGTGGGAAAGGACTTGTCTCATCTGCGATGTCAAAATCGACATGCTGGACGGGGGTGAAGGGTTTTTAGTACATATTGTAATAGATCGTTTGTATGAGAGCCTATATTAGCTCCAGGCTGAGGGTTGGAGTAAATACCCAGGTCTGAGATTAGCCCGCTAAGACGGTTATCGATTGCTTTCCACTATCAACCGAGTAGACGCAGTACCTCCATCCTCTCCGCACCAGCAACAACAGAGCACCTTACTACTGCAACTCACGCAACCCTTCACACCTCCAACCGAGTCACTACCGCACAACCATTTCCCAAATACCCCGATTCTGCGTACAAGAAAAGACATTCCGGGGGGGAACCCCCGGGGGAGAACCCCCGGACCCCCCTTTCTTTCAACTTCCTGATAACCCTAGCTCTAAGTACTAGAATAAGATATTCCCAGAGAGAAACTCCGGATCCCCAATCTTTTCATCTTTCGACTATCGCCAAGCCTGAGTATCTACTAGAAACAAGAATAAAGCATTCCGAAGAAGAACCCCCGGACTCCTCTTCTTCTTCTTTTACTTCCCACTCACCGTAGACCCCAATCCCAAGTACTAGAATAAAAAACGTTCCGGGGGAGACCCCCCGAACCCCCCTTCCTTCCAACTCCCCAGTAACCTCAAGCTCCAGCTCCCAACCCCAATTCCCAGCGGATGGCCGGCGTGGCCATCCCAATAGCGAGTGCGGCACCGTGGTGTAGGCGCATTTCAGCGGGCTGAAGTGCGCAGGGTTCCAGGAGGATTGTTTGGGAGGGTTGGAGTTCGGACAGGCGGCCGACGAGGGTCGAGCCGGCTAAGCCGCCGCCGATGATGATGTAGTCGTAGGTAGAAGCCATGCAGACTGATGATGAAACAGGGTTTATGGAGTGATATTCATTCTCAAGCGAGGTTAGTCGAGCTGTTCTGATAGTGTAGTATTACCGGATTCTTTGTGCTCGGTACGGCTGGCCCGAGACCAGAGATCGCCGTAAGCTCAATCTAGGTAGACTGGCTTGGTATCAACTACAGGCGCAAGCTTACTGATTAGTTCATTCCTGTAGATTTGATCTGTCAGTTTGAAGTATATCTCACCGGCGTGGCATGCCATCTTCCGAGTTGGTCCATGCAGACGCTGACAGAAAGGGTGCGAGTTCAGTTGAGTGTAACAGTGCCACCATATAGCGTCGCCTTATTCAACCAATTCTTCATAGACAAAAGAAAAGCAGCCGTGCTACTGACACCGGCTGTCGCAGACTACTATAACCTGCCAAGCAATCTTCCTCACCACCCGCAACTCATGCAAAGACGTGGCCAAAATTCAACAAAAAATGGAGCTGCGGGGAATCGAACCCCGGACCTCTCCCATGCTAAGGGAATATTATACCACTAAACCACAGCCCCTGTTGATGTAATGATAGCATATTTGTGGCCTCATGTTTCAAGCGCAGCGATAAGCAGTCGCTGTGCAGCCCAGCGGAATGCTTGGTCTGATCACATGCCCACTCCACGCAGACCTTTACAGCCCCAAGGCCCGGTGTACGTCAAAGCAATAGCCTTGCCCTCTGAGCGGTGAGTCTGCGTTCAATGGTGTGGGTGTCTCGTTCTGGAGAGCATCGAACACTTTACCATGCTGCCACAAACACATAGACTGGGAAAGGGACAGAAGGCACGTTGTTCACTTCATCTCGAGGGTATGATGCAGCCGTCACGACTTATTGGAGCACCTCGAGACAGCACTCTCGCTCATGACTGATCCGTGAGTAGTAGCTTCTATGGCACGCCCGTTCAACGACCGTCGATAGCCCTGCAACAGGATCAGACTCAATCTCCGGGACTTGGGTCGCTTGTCTGCTCGTGTCGAGGAACCCATCATCAGCGACTGACACGCACACCCACAGGATTTTGCGGAATCTGGAAGAGGCCGTATTATAGAGAAGGTGCTTATTGTCTTCCTTGGCAGGGTCCAGAGGTCCCCAGGGCAGATGCAGACGAGAAAGCCCCCACAGCAGAAGACCGGAGTCAGGCCGCTCAAAGTATAACTAACTTAGTCCACTGACCCTGAACGTTGGTCAAATGAACCGGTAAGTGGGGTTAAATCCTTCCGAAGACCTCGTGAAGATGGACCTCGCTTAGGGCTCTCGGCGCATGAAACGGGTCATGGCTTTGGCAGTCTACCGTGCGGGGCAACAAGTAAATAACCCCAGAACGAGGTGAAGACGACTAAAGCCACAAGTCAGTACCCCTGCAGGGCATCCCACACTGTAGGCTGCTACCTGGACAACTTACAAGCTAGATGTGAATTGAAACAAGGGTCATATCCGCAATAGGTGGTGGTGACTGCACGGAGGCTGGAGGCGATCCCAAAGCCCGAGAATCCCTGCCGATCCCCTCACCAGAACCTCCGCTGAGTAACCGGTCACCCTCCCTACTCCAGTGCCAACCATAGAACAACAGATGTGCTATATAAATAAGCAAGCTCCATCAAAAACTATAATTTCTCGCTCCCATATCCAGTCACTCCTTGTTGATTTCCTCTCAGTCCCAGCTTCCTCAAATATGTCCCCGCCTTGGCGCCCCGGAAAACGAGTGGCCATCGCCGGCGGAGGCCCCGGAGCCATCTCCACGGGGCTAGCCTTTCTCCAACGGGGGTACGATGTGCGCATCTTCGAGAAACAGCGCACGTGCCAGGCCATCGGCGGCGCGGTGCTGCTCTCCATCCCCGTGCTCGCCATCCTCCGCGCCTACGGGCTGACCTCGGACAATTTCGGGTCGTACACGCGGACAACCTTCGCCAACAAATGGGGCAAGGAACGGGTCCAGCTGCCCTTCAACGCCGAGGTCGAGCGACGCATGGGCATCCAGGGCTGGCAGTACGGATTGTTGCGGTCGACCATCTTCGCAAAGATGCTGGAACTGGTCCCGGAAGGCGTGATCTACACGGGTCATGAGGTAACCGGATATGAAGAGAAGCAAACGAGTGGGGAAGAAGACTCCGGGGTACAGATCCGGTTCAAGAATGGCAGTACCATGATGGCCGACATCCTGGTCGCGGCGGACGGCATTCGGTCGACGGTGTCGCGGCAGGCCTTTGGCGAGCCCGGGCTCTTCCACACGGGCATTCGGGTCTGGCTTGCGTGGTGCGATCAGATCCCCGGGATCCCGGCCCACCACGGGGTGATCTCCCACGACTGGCAGTACCAGGCCAGCTTCTTTCCCATGATGCGCGAGGGCAGACGACCCGGCTTCGAGTGGTGGGTGGTCGAGCCCTCCTACGAGGGCAAGCCGGCACCTGCAGATCCTCGCACGCATCTGGCCGCGATTCTCCAGAACTGGGCACAGCCGATGCCGCGACTCCTCGAGGCGACCGATTTCAACTCCCAGGTCTACCGGTGGGAGGTCTATAATCGGCCATCCTTGCAGAAATGGTCGGCTGGGAGGGTGGTCGGCGTGGGCGATGCGGTGCACCCGGTCTCACCGTATGCCGCATATGGGATGGGGATGGCGATCGAGGATGGCTACTACCTCGCCCGCGCCCTCGATGGGGTCGACCTGCGCGATCCCCGAGCCGTCGCCGCTGGATTTGAGCTCTATGAGCAGCAGCGCGTGAATTACGCGAACCATCACATGGAATTCGCCCGCTTCTCGGGATCCATGTTCCACCGCTTGCCCTGGCCTTTGGCCAAGGTGCGGGACCTGATCTTTGATTACACCCCTGTATTGGGCATGCTGTTGAGAAAGGACTATCTTCAGCGGGCCGAGGAGGAGACAATGAATTTGCGGGAGCTGCAAGTTGTGTGAGGAAATGGAGGGATGGGTTTTTGGGGGGGGGGGGGGAAGGCGCTCGGAGCCCAGGGAATTGGGCTGCAGTTTTAGTCGAGTCGAGTCGATTTCGACGGCGGACGGAACACTCCCGACCTTCCCTATTTGGCAATTCCACTCCGTGGCTTGACTCCGAGTCACGTTCACCTTCACAATCACTTTCACGTTCACAGCCCCCACAGCCAAGCCCAGCAGGCCAAGAAGACTAACCATGAAGGAAGACCATGTGGCTCTCGTAATGAAGAAATCAATCCAGGGCTGAACTCTGCTTAACTCGAAAAAATGATGATTCGGATCCATGCAGGTGTCTTAGAAGATGCCCTCAAAGCATGTGATAGTTGAACGTGTCGAATTGGGGCAAACCCAAGACATTCCAGGATGAAACTCGCCCGCAAGGGTAGATAGAGGACGGCACTTAGAAGGGAGGAGTAGATATTCGGTTGGTGAGAAGGATTTGCCTCATCGGATCGGCATACGCTTAGCGGGCTTTTAGCGGCTCTTAGCGTGAATAACGAATTAGTGCTCAGTGCTCAGTGCTCGCTGCTCGCTGCTCAGATAACGCAGGCGGGGTTTGCAAGAGTTAGTTAGCACTTAGCAGGGAGTCTGTTTGATTTGGGTGGGTTAATAATAACTTATCACTAGTTGACTAGTTAACTAACCTAACTTAACTTAGCCAGACCCTTGCGGCTGCCTGACACCACCCTCGGGGCACCCCCGTCATCCCTGAACGCGCATGGGTTGACGAACTTGACGAACTTGACGAATTTGAATGAACTGCAAGTAAGCTTACGGGGCCAAAGATATACTTCGTATTCTGGAAGCGTGGCAGAATATTCCACATGGCCAAAGTTAAGATTATGACATCTCAGCAGTGGAGGTGGCAGTGGGCCAGCGAGCGATCAGATAGGGTCAGACCCGTTCAGGTAAAGCTTCACAGCCTTAGAGTACGCGAGACAGGCGAGGCGAGACAACGACCGGGGGGAGGGATTTTAGTCCCCTCAAAAAGCGACCCTAGTCTACTAGGTAGTTATTGGCCGCTCATTTCGGACACTTGGCGCAAAGATTCACCCCAATTCCTGACTCCGTGGATTTTAAATCCAAGGGTAACCCCTCCATCAACCGATCAGAAAATCCTGTCTAGTCCCACTGCCTCACCATGTTACTTTCCAAACGCAAGCCACACAGAAAACGATCCTCCACCGGATGTCGCACCTGCCGGTACGTATCCATACCCGGCCTTGAGTAAAACAACCACCACCACCACCACCATCACGAAAGATAGATATATAAAACCCAAAAATCAAAAATCATACTCACTCAACGCTTCTCGGCAGGTTGCGTCGCATCAAATGTGATGAAGCGCCCGATGCCTGCACCAACTGCGTGTCCACAGGTCGTACCTGTGATGGGTACGAAGCCCACCGGCTTCCCCGAGCGTGTGGTCCTCAATCCAAACAATCGAAACGGATGGTAGCTGTAGCACACCCAGCACTCACTCAGGTAGCATTCGGGCTGCAGTGGGCCGTGACCTCAGACGAGGGTCGATGTCTGTCTTTCTTCCAGCATCAATCCGTGCAGAACATGGTTGGGTTCTATGATTCGTCGCTCTGGCACCGTCTTATCCTCCGCTTGAGTTACACAGAACCGGCTGTATATCATGCTGCCATCGCCTTGGGGGCCATCAATAATGCCCAAGACAAGAACAAGGTTTTGCGACCAGGCCAGAAGCTGCAGAGCATCTGGTACTGGTTTGGACTGGAGCAGGCGGGACGCTCGATCTCCCTCTTGAACAAACGACACTTTTCGCAGGATCCTCAATTTCAGGAGGTGGTGTTGGTCTGCTGTTTGTTATTCATCGCCTGCGAGATGCTCTGCGGTAACTATGACAACGCATGTGCACATGTCCAGGGCGGTCTGCAGGTTTTGCAGAAGCTGAACATACGAAGAAAGATCTCGGGTGAATTTATTTCACCCGTGGATTCATGCATAGTAGAGACCTTCCTGCAGCTCCAGGCGCAATCCGTCTTCTACGGGACAGGCGTGCACTTCCATGTTGACAATGACCTGGTATCCGAACACCCGTATGAGGACTACCTGGGCACATTTCAGCGCTTGCAGGATGCAAGACGAGTTTGCGACCCACTCTTGAACACTGGATGGCCTTTCGCGGCACGCAGCTGGAAACTGTCAGAAGCCGAGATCATGGCTGACTATGCCATGCTGCATCAAGAACAGCTCTTTCTCCTCTCTTCCATGAGCCGATTCCTGAGCCGATTAGACTGGCTGACGCGTCAGTCGTATAACCAGTTGAGTGAGAAAGAACAGCGCGAGACAGACATGACCACAGTAAACTGCTTCGCCTTGAACTTCGCACTCAAGACTTCTCTTCTGAGCAGAAACACACCCTTGTCCCCTGAACTTGCCCAGGAAAGCGAGGATCTGGTTTCTCTGACCGAGTCTGCGATTCAGAAGCTTCGGGAGCATCCAATCATCACTTTGGACAGCCCCATCGTTCCAGCGTTGTACAATGCAGCAGCAAGAACCCCAAATTATTCCGTTCGGGTAAAGGCAATAGCTCTGATGAGGGTATGGCAGCATGTAGAGGGATTCGCAAACACTGCATTAGTCGCTGATATTCTCGAGGAAGGTCTCAAGATCGCCTTGAGGAAATTGAGACGAGAGATGATCGCGACGTCCCGTGCATTGCCTGCCGGTTTGATGTTCGTCCCCGCCACAGATGGGCAGACCTTTGTACGTATAGGGTACAGGATATTTGGTGCTGAGCACGAACTGTGGCTAAGCCTCGAAAAGAGTCCCGCTCTCTTTGATGCTCTACCGTTCATACAATCTGCCAGTCAATGGTCATGTTTGCGATCACTTGGGATTGTCAAAAGTGCTGGGGCATAGAAGTGGTACCAGCAAGACGATGGTGTTAGAATATGCTTAGACAGAACAAGTCGAGTGACGCATGATGATACCGCAGTTAGACACTTCACTGAGTAATAGGACGGCAAAGGTCTTGTGCTAGCTAAGTAGATCCTCACAAGCGTCAATACAAGTTTAGCGTTAGGTAACAGGTGTCATTCCTGACCTACTCGAATTCAGATCTCTCCTTTGATGCAGACTCATGAATCGCGAAGATGATCGAGTCCGGGGGTCATCGACGGTAGCTTGGCTGGTGCACAGGTTCGTAAAAATTATTGACGAGTTGTCTTAGATCTTCAAATGCTATTTTCCATTATGAGCTTGGAATTTGAATCCGGATCAATGTTGTTTTTGGCACCAGCTCCCCTCCCTTGCCACCCCTCCTTTGCTTAGATCTATGCACGGTGGTTCAGACAATGACAGCCACGCTACAGGCACTAATGCACAAATGTAGTGAGGTGGTGCTGGTGTGGGAGGCGCAGATTGGACACCCAAAAGTACTGTGGCCTGAGCTTGCATTAGTTTGTGCTGCACTTTTCCAGGTCCTCACCGCTGCAAGAAATTGAGGTTGGGCGGAGCCGTCTTACAGAAACTCTTCAATACTCAAGTCAAAATTACAGCGTTTTCCTGGCACCATGAAACAAGATTTTGTCAGCTGAAATTCCCTTCGAAGAACCTGAGCAGATCTGTCTAGCATGCGAGCTATCGAGAGCCACGGCTTGGCAATTAAAGTGGCAGGCTTCCAAATCAAGGAAGTGTGTACGAGAAGGACTGAAGAACTTGTATTGACCACTGCGAAAATCCGCAGAGGGTGGCACGTTTTAGGTGCCTATAACAGGCCCTGGGACGAATGTTTCTTCATTCCCGAAGTTAACACTGGCGATTGCAGGACGTTCTCCCAGTCATGAACAAACTCCGTATTCAGGGTGCTCAGCCTGACTTCACCGCCAGCTCGAGCAATCATCTCGTCTTCGTATTCCGTGACTGCAGTAGATTGGGGCTCTACTCCTGATACAAATCGTTGAATGGCTTCAACCAGGTAGGCTGCATCTGTGATGGAGTGGTTCAAGCCTTGGCCGCGCTGATACGTCATCGCATGTGCGGCATCGCCAGCAAGTGTGACTCGTCCACCGTGATTATCCCAGCGATGGTCCTGAGCGCCCGGATCGAAATCCGTTAAGCCCATGTACCATACTTCGTGGTCATCATCCAACCATTGGAAAGCGCTTTTCCAAGGGTCCGCAAATTGCCTGGCGAACTCCTTAACTTGCGTCAATCTTTGAGCGTTGGACCAGTCGGCTGTCCTCTCCTGCTCCTGATAGGTTGACTGCCACGATATATAGAAGAAGAATGTCCATGATTCAGGCCGATCGGGATCTTCCACCTCATGCATTCCGAAGAAGGCAAACTGTCCGGCTGGATTGATTCCTGCTAGGTACAGAGGATGGAACTGCCGCAAGAAGCGAGCCCGCTCCGCGCTAAAGCGTGCTTGTACGAAGGTCGCACAGTAGGGAAGCGGACGAATTTGCCCTGTCTGTGGGAGCATTAATTGACGGATAGTCGACCGAGCTCCATCGGCTCCTATAACAATCTTCGCTGTGAGAGATGTTTCATCGGTTAGTCGCACGGTGGCATATTGACCATCCTTGGAGAAGTTGATTCCCTGGACCCGCTTATCGTACCGAACGTCCAGGCCGGCTGCCAACAATTCCCGTAGTTTACGGCGACGCAGTCGGTTGAAGAATGGAGCGGGAATAGAGGCCATGTTCTCCCCTGTCGATCCATTGATAAAATTGAGCGCATCACTCTTGCTTGGAGAGATGCTTGGGTCTACCTGCACGGACTGTATCTGCTTCCACAGCTCGTCCGGGATAAGACTTTTCAAGGACTCAGCGCCCCAATGCAAACCCATATTCCAATCTCTAGGGTGAGAGCCAATGCTAGACTGTCTCTCCAACACGACGCAAGGTATATGAGCCTGAAGACATGTTTAGCTTCAGCCCGGCTTGGTGGGTTTGCAGGTATGTTGTAAAGCAGGGTTGGTACCTTTTTCAAACCTTGTGCCAG